GTGTGGAATGTACATTCCCTAGGGCTCCTGGCCCATCTCCTCAGAAGATGGTTAGACCCCCGTGGCACCCACCCCAGTCCCACCTTGATCCTCCCATCCTTCCAAGGTTGCTGGGGCAGTGGCACCACCGTGGAATCGGCTGCTTGGAAAGAGAAGATGCGAGGAAAACCACCCGACCAGCCTGAAACCCAGCCATGGAAGTGGAAGCCCCACCCTCTTGGGTTTTCGGATTTCATGGCCCACCGGGGCCATGTCATCCGAATTTGGAACCATGCCATCAATCATGTGTACGTCTTTTTCAAACCAACGCTGAAATCATGGTATCCCTGAAAATCAAAGCACCTTCTCAGAAGGCATATATTGGAGACGCTGTTATGTATGTTTGGAGGGTCCAAGTACCATCTGAGAAGGTGCTTGGATCCTAGGGCATGGAACTTGGAAGATGATGAGACATGGAAGAGACATGGAAAGTGCCGAAGAAAGTTGGAGGACCCTTTTTGCTCGAGTAGTGAGGATCGTGAGGACTATATAATTATGTTGCATCAGACTGGGTGTTTGGTCGGCCTTGGTCAGGTGACCTGGCGTGATGGATCTTCAGTGCTCCTAGATGTTCGTTGACATGCGACACATCACATAGTAGCTCCATCATAGGGCTCCTGGAAGAAACAATAGCTGCCGCGATCTGCAACGCGCCCCTCGATCCACAGCGGAGTTTCTTGCCTATGGGACAGCTGATGCAACTACTGCATATTGCTGTGCACCCTAAAGGTAAGCCAATTGTGCATTTGGACATGCCCTTCTCAGAAGGTACTTGGACCCTCCAAGCAAAGGTAAAAGTGTTTGCAACCACCTGCTCAGAGGGTATGTGGATCCATAGGGACTTGAATGGACAACCCCTGGAATTTTGCCTTTGGCATCCGCTTCGTCCTTGATCATCTCACACATATAGGTACAGACATCGAAGATGATTTTTGCCCACCCAAAATAATGAATTTGTCTTCTTCTGCAATCTCATGCATTGAAAGGAGGTGTGAACAAGTTGACCTTTTGCTGCCTAAAGCAGCAGTTCACACCTGGCATTTTCTTCAGCAAACCCTGGTGAAATTCACATGGAACAAAACGGAGCCTTTTTGAATCCTTTTGAGTTCACATCAGCTTTGCACCTCCAAAGCCATAGAATGTTCGACCACCGCCCGTAACGAATCAGCAGCCTTTTCGGCATCGGCGAAGACCTCGGAGACGAGGTCATTGAGATGGGTCCCAATGTGGTGCCTTTCGGCAGCAGTGAAGCCAGTCGTTCGCCGCATACCTAGAGCCGTGGTATGCCTGGTTTTGGGGGGAGGCTCCAGCAATAGGCAACTGTAGAATCGCATGCCACAGATGTGAGTCAAAGATTGTCACAACTGATAGAAGACATGGTCGGTATGGGTGCCATATCTTCACATGGTTCACGTGTGTTCACGTTCTGCTTGCTTGGTTTTTTGTTTTTTTGGGTCCATTCAGGCCCCCCTGCAGGTCAAGAGACTGGTTCACCCTGTTGGGCAAGAGACTTTGTACCAAGCCCTGGGTATGAATCCCCAGTGGTTTGTTGACACATTATTTCTTGGGAGGCTTGGTTCAACTTGGTGGCTTGGGCACTAGTCATTCAGTGGCTTCACTGTCAATTGTCATGTTTCTGTGAAGGCTTGCTGCTCCCTCATTCCTTGAATGCAGCATCATCATGAACCTTATTGTACCTGCCTATTTTGCTGCAACTTGGGTGGCACGTTTACGCCTCCCTGTGTATTTTTAGAAAGCGCAGTTCACAGTTAGACTTAGACCCCCCCCCGAAAACGCTCCCCGCAACCAATCCCAAACACCTCATTCCGAAGGGCTTTGGAGCGAACGAAGAATTGCGGAACCCAGTTCCGCCAGGCATATCCCGACCTACGTGCCCGAGCTGACTTTAGACGCGGCGACGCATTTTCACGTTGGGGCTCTCAGGAAGCGGGCGTAAGCTTTTTGTCATTCAAGGAGTCAACTCAGGCAGGGGACTGAAGAAGTATTTGCGAGCCTTTCTATTCGAACCAGCTGTGGCAAAGTGGCCAGGAACAAATTCAAGCAATTTCATGGTCTCAAGTGAGGAAGACTTTGATCAGCGTAGCATGTCTTTGATTGTTGCCAAGACTTATCCCCTTCAGTGGGCCTCCAGCTTGTCAGACGGCTAGGGAGTAATGTATAGAAGAGGTTCAATCAGTAGAAAAAGACATTGGTTGGAAACACAGGAGCAACTGATTATGATTGATTATGTTGTTTGCTGAAGCTGCCGGTGCCCTTTCTTGTTTGGTTTTGGTGTTTTTGCACTGTGTCCAACAGTACCAATTTGTTTCATTGCTTTGTCCAGACAGAACATTATCGGCTCATGGAATGCCAAGCCGTATGTAGTTCTTCAAGCACAGATCTATCAGCCCTTCGGTACACTTTGGGTCGAGCAATGTACTGAACTTGCTGTTGATCCGTAATTAGCTTCTAAATTGGCTCCGTTCCAAGACCCCAGAGTCTCAAGATTCTGTCATTGGTGCCGCAGCCAGAGCCAGTGCCCAGACGCGTCATGTTCGACCTGTCCGACGGCCAGCAGCGGGTCGCGATGTGGATGTTGCAATTTCCGGGAGCCGACTTACCTCGGTACCTTAGAACATGGGACATGTCGGACATAAGCCTGCCTTATGAAAAAACACATGGGGCACAAGATGGCACAAGCCTTTTTAGAACTGGTACAGATGGTTTGAGGTACACAGGTCGACTCCGACCGGGCAGCCCGGGCAGCACCGAGAGAATCCGAGAGACCAAGGTTTGGTGCTATCCCCGGGATGGTTGCTCCAATGGACGCTGCGTCGGGGCCCCGGACGGGCCATCGGACATACGGGGCCCGAGTGATACGACCTTCGACATGTGCTGGATCGGAATGAGGATATATATATATATATATTACATATATATATATATGTATTATACACACACATATGATTATGATTATGTACATAACTACATACATATACACTATTTGCAATGTTGGATCTTAAATAGTGTGAACGCACCCTAACAAACAATCGAGGGAGTCTGGATAGTAGCATTACCACCAAAAGTAAGTATAAGGAGTAGGAGTAGTAGTAGTAGGAGTAGCAGTAGCAGTAGTAGTAGAACATACCTTAGTTTCCAAAAGTGATGTTACAAAGATGTTGATTGTTTCGAACAAGGCTTAACGCTTGATTTAGCTAAGACAACGTAGTTATTTTTGCGTTAGACACTAATCAAATAATGTTTTGTAGTATTTAGTCAAACAACTACTTTAAATATGCTTAAATTAAAGTAGGTTTTATTGTAGAGGAGTAAGCCAAGATTATAATTGTACCGACCGTATATACACAGTATATATACTTTAAAATTGACACTGTTTAGTATATTTGCTTATATTTATCCAACAGCCGGGGGTATAGTCGGGTATAGTTGTATCGTTTGTTATTTGTACCGTACTGAAAAATTGGGTTTATTGTTATGTTGACTGTAGTTTTAGGTTTGATGTGAACCTTATATGTATGATACCCCCTGCATAATTGAATTTAACCCTCAGACGTGCCATCAATCACGCAGTCCCTGATGAAACTCATCAAGGAACTCAAGTGCAGCATGTCCATGGATGTTGTTGGCCCAAGCCAAAGGCAACTGATGTGGGGCGCTTGTGCATCCAGTTACGTAGCCTTCTACTTGTAGCCCCCGAATTGTGACTCACGGAAGTGGAGACCTCCCGGGTGCCAAGCAAGGCAAGTCGTTTGGCAAGTCGAGGGGCGGTAGAAGCCATTGTTGCAGCTGTTAGAGAGAGAGAGAGAGTGTCCCTTCGACTCGACTCCTCGGAATTCATGTTGGCAAGGCAGGTGGTTCTTGTCAGTTTGTTCTGAGGTTCCTTGTAGCATGTTTAATGTTTTAGCCAGATGAGCGCCAAGTACGAAGCCTTTACAAACAGTCCAGGTCCACGTTTGGGGTCGGACCTCGGTACGGGACATGGACATCCTTTTTCAAGGAACCCCGTTGAAGAGCTAGACTCCATCCCCAACATCCAGCAGCGGTCAACATGGTGACAAAAGGGTTCACTCCAAATCCAACATCAAAAAAACGACAAATCCACCACTTCTCCTCAATCGTGCTATGTAATTTCACTTCCATACACTTGAGAAATCGATGTCAAAGCCAGCACATCCATTGATTGTTCCGGTCGATGTGGCCAATCGCGGCCAACGACCGGCCGTCAGGTTTCGTCCATAGCCCTTGTGTTTGGATGCACGACGTGTATTTGTTCACACTTAGCCAAGCTCAGGTTGGCTAGGAGGCAGGTGGCAAAAGAGAGGCCAGTGAGGCCCAGTGGTGTATTAAAAAAGAGCACGTTTTCCAATGTTCAACTGTCAGCATTTCCATATCATCGGTTGCCACCGAGTTGGCTCATCTCGACTCGAGGTCATGCCTTCCAATAACGTTGGCCTTATGGTGCCTATCACCAAGGGCTTGGCGTCGACCACGAATGTGAGGCCCTCAGCGAATGGAGGCTGTGATGCCCAGACACTCCATGGGACTGGCATATATATATACACACACACATATATATATATATATATATTCACCCTACAATCACCCCAGGTCAACCACCACAACTGATCGGTAAACATGCCAGTCGCATAGATGGTTCGGGATAGGTGAGGATGGCTCGACTTGTTGAGAGGATGCGTTCAAGAACAGCCTCTATTTAAGATCGAACATGTATACTGTATATTATATGTAGAATTATATAGGTTCATGCGGCTTCTACACTTTAGTACACAGACGGAATTTGCGCGTGCTGAACTGGCGTTTTTGGCTCAGATCCTCGTGCTGGCTGAACCTCTTGACGTTTTCGTTTTCCCTCGGGCCGTCGCGTGCGCCTAAAGGACATGGCCTCCGGCTCGGCAGAAGACCCTGCATGGTTAGTGGACATGATCATTCAGTTTGTCAGCTCTCCATCATGGAATGAACCTATCAACAGTTTCGTGGCGGAGAAGTGTGTGATCTTCGACAACCTTGATGATGCTTAAATTTGAACACAGTGTGATTTGTACTGGGTTCCTCCGTTTCTTTTAGTATTTCTCGGATTTGCAATTCAGTTTTGCACAACGAAGCGGGTCAACATTTATCAACATTGTGGATTCATTAGATACGAAGAGAAGGCATGGCAGATCTGGGCAGCCTCTTGGAGGATTCCTCGATCCAGCATCCCATCTTCCATCCTCCAAAACCTCAAAGAAAAAAAGTCACCAAAGACTCCATGGGACTGGCATATTTGCCTGATTTTGCTGATCAGTTGGGGTGGTTGACCTGGGGTGCCTACATTGGTGGCATTTCAGTCCCATTCGTCGTGTTTGGGCAGCCACTGAGGACGAGATGAAACACGAGTACATGGAGTGCCACCAAGAGTTTAGTGGATTGGTGGAGAGCCTTCTAGCAGCACACCTGCTGGAGGTGGACATTGCGCCCGAGGACTTCGAACGACAGGCGATTTTGCCGGTCTTCATGCGGATGTTGGGCAGCGAACGACAGTTCATGCCTGGATCCGACTTGAGGGTACCTTAGACACATGACCCGAACTAAAAACAGCTTCGACTGAGGTCCATTGTATGTTGCACAGGGGCAAGTGGCGTGTCTTTTTTTGGTGGGGTCCTTTTGCATCACCTTGGTCTCATCATTAGTGAAGAGACCGAACCGTGTGGCGTGAAGAGACTGAAACACTCAGTGAACAGTGTGCTGGACAATCCTCGTTCGTCCACATCCCATCACCACCGCCCCCAGCTGTTTATTGAATGGCCCAGTAACCTGTGACAGTCGGTGAGCAATTATACCAGGACACCCTAATAAGGGGTGTCTATTGATAGCCCGTTATGTAGTTGGCTGGCGGCTGATAGAACGCCGCCAGCTTTTCTTCACTTTTTTGATCTTTTTTGCTTTTCAGTTGACGCACTTGTGGAAGCGCAGGTTACAAAATGAAGTAGTTTTTCCGGAAATTCTGGGTCATCAATTTTCACATGAAAAGAAGAATTCATTGTAAATGTCAATACGAAAACAACCTGTCATGATGATAAAACGAAGCGGCGTTCTATCAGCCGCCTACCATGTAGTTACGTATCAGACGGGATGCGCGGGCGTTGTAACCGAAGGGACGCATGACTGAAGTCGCGGACTTTTGGCAACCGCGGCCTCAGGGCTTGAGGCAGTAGTACTGTACTGCACAAAACCTTGTTTTGCTCAAAGTGACTGATATTTTCCCTATTGGTAAATATTATTTTGCATGGGGAATATGTTGTTCTGTTTTCCAGGTTCCTTAAGCGAAACCAAGAAAGGGATCGAGGTGGCAGGGTGACGCATGACTGAGCCAGGTCATGGAAAGTGGATTGAAAGATGATGAGCGGATGCAGGGGGTGGTCTCGCAGTTGATGGCTGCAGAAGACTTCTTGACCTTCAGGGACATGATGCTAAAACATCACATGCAGATGCAGCAGGCAGCCGAAGGTAACCTCGCTTCTACTCTTGTGCAAGTGCCCTTTGCTTTTTGTTGACTTTAATCACAGCAGTTGCCCTTGGTTCAATTCATTAAGAATACCACAGACTGCTCTTTCCTAGACAGAGCTTTTGGACCCTGCGCACGCCCAAGGCACCTATCATGGCCCATCTGGCATGACACCAGAGGAGGAGAAGTTGGCCAACGACGCTGCCATTGCAGCAGCCATCGCTGCAGACGCCTCCACCATGGAGGAGCAAGCGTCTGCTGTGGCCCGCGGCGCCCACTCCGCCCCCAGCGCCGCGTCGGCGCCGCCGCCGCCGCCGGCCTCCGCCGAGGAGGAGCGGGCGTTCGGCGCCGCGGGCGGCGCGTACGGGCGCGCGGTGTATGGAGGGCAGAAGAAGCCGGCCAGCAACGAGAAGGCTGCAGCGATCCGGAAGGCCTTGTTCAATGGTTTGAAGAGATGAGTGGCACTCGACATGGATCACCGACATGGATCGAGAGTGAGCACTGCTGCATCGTTTCACGTTTTCCGTGTCCTAGAAGTGGTCGAGAAGGACCAAAAATCGTGTCCGGGACTTGGACTGAGGCTGCACAGCCTACAGGGCGTCCAGTTCTGGAGTTGCTCATACCAAACCAAAAACAGTACTCAATGAAGCAAGGACCAGGTTTTACGTGGTTCTATGGGTTTTTGGACCTGTAGGGATAGTTTTATTGTATTTATTTCTTGGACAGTTCTAGACCTTGGGTTCAGCACTCTGTACCCTAGCCTCTCATCCGCCAGCCCCGCCACCATGAGCACCCGGCACCGCCGCTGAGAACTGGGTAGCCACGACGGGCACCAACTTCGCGCTGCGCTTGCCTCTGGCGAGTGACTACGACATTGGCCCGGGATCCGCAGCTGATCTCGTCGGTGTTTAAGAGAGAGAGAGGTTCTCTTCGGCACTCCAGCTGAATGGGAGTGTGGAAAAAAGATGAAAAAAGAGGCTCCTGATCACTCCAGAAGGTCTGAAAAGATTGTTCCTATTACATTGACCGCGGCTCGACCACTGCAATGTAGAGGCATTGTCTATGATGAAATCCCGTGGCATTGGTCGGTTTCATACGGCAGTGACATGCATTTGTCCCCACAAAAAGGTTGGAGTAAAGGTCGGAGTGGTTCCCTGTTTTCTTCTCCGCCACAGAAGGCTTTAGAGCTGGAGCAAGCGCCCCCATTTTGTATCTATAGAATGCGGGACCCAACGCTCATCCCCAAATTCACAGGGATCCTTTTTCAATATTTGTCTCCACTTTCTGAACCTTGCAGGCTTGCAGGGCCAACTCACAGTGGGCGGGAGGTTAGAGGTGGGGGTAGGACTTTTGGTTATTCCTGTTTGTCACTCCTTTTGGTCACTTCCGCGAAGGTGAAGCTTGGCCACGTGCAAAGATCATTACCTTTGACGGTGCCTGGGAAGGAACAGGACCTTGAGTCACACTGGATTTGTTCTCTGCCATAAACCATCATCAACCGCGGAAGTCAATGAGTCAAGGACCCGAGCCTGAAATGATGTCGAACTACTTTTCAGTTTACAAACATTCGTAGCCATTTTCAAGGTCGTGCAGTCTCTTAGGGGTCCAGTCGTACCGAGCCTCAGGTTCGGTACGACTGGACCCGACAAGGGCACCTACATAACAGTGTTGAACACATCACCGTACCTGACAAGGTACGACTGGATCCCTAGGGAGTGATCTTTCTCTTGATGACAAGTTCTTCACCCTCCATCGAAGGGACGCCTCGCTCGTGTGTGTGTGTGTGTGTCCACCCCTGGACAAAGGGCTCTTTACCACCAACTCGAT